GAGTAAACGAATGTCAAGAGTCAGTATGGTATAGTGCAAAAAATGCTCAACTTGGAATCAAGAGAATCTTTGATTTGAATCCAGCTTCTAACACTCATGAACTCTGATTCCCCAAACAAGTCACCTTACCAGTATGAATGGAAGTGTCCTCAATTATATAACATTATAAAATGGCTCTGGTATCTTCCCAACAATATTATTGTAAAGTTTAAAATATCAACTGTTCCTAATAAGCTATTGCCAAAGCCTCCTCATCAGCAAGCTCGCTTAGCTTAAAGTGAGCTTCCTCAAGGTAACAATAATGATATAGCCAGCATTTATACAGCACTAAAAGGTTTGCAAAGTGCTTTACAAATATCTCATTTCATCCTCAAAACAATCCTGGAAGATAGTTGTTATTATTATCCTATTTTACAGATAAGAAAATAGTGGCAAAAAGAGATTGAGTGACTTGTCCACATAGCTAGTTAAGTATCTATGGTTGCTTTGAACTGGACTTCAGGCTCAGTACTCTACCCACTGTGCCATCTAACTGCCTGTTATAGAAACACTTGAAATGAGGATTTCCAAAAAGACATTTCCAAGATTCAGGATTTTGTACTGAGTAAAGTTGAGGAGAATAAGTCTTCCCCCACACATGGTATCAAATAGGGTACTTATAGTCTGAATCAAATGCCTCAGTAAAAAAGTTTGTTAACAGATTCTGAAAATGCAAATTTTAACAAGTAAGGCAATAAGAGCATGATGACTATTTCTGAGCAAGTCTGATGAGTGGGAAGTAGTGTGGAATTCACTGTGACTTCACAAGTTCATTTTATAAGAAGCAATTAATATCAGCTACCATAATACATGGTAGAGAAGTGAAAGTTTTTGAGCTTCCTGAAATAGGCAGTACAAATTTTGGGCTAGAATTTTTTTTTCTGTTTATTCATTTCTTCTATATATGGTCAAAGGCTAATATTCTAGCCTTTTCTTATTGAGGCATTCATAAAATAATGCTTCAACAGATCTGAGATTCAGTAATATCCCCAACAGGTTTAAACCCTATAAAAATTTAAAAATAAACCCAGAAGTTGGACCTCTTTGTATTTGGCCAAAACTCTTTCCAGTAGGAGGCATGGTCATTTCAACAAGAACGTGGTCAAATTCTTGAGCTGCTAGACTTGTGCAATGTTTATTGCTTATTGTGTTTATTACTGACACAGGATGGAAAATTATGTGCCATTTTCAAATTAAGTAATCCAATTTGCCTGAAGTCTTAGTTGCAAGAAGAAATAAAGAAGGATATGATCAAATGAAGCAGTTCTCTATTTAAGGGCAGTATTAAATGCTTTATTTTAATAAGTACCATCACTGCATAAATATATTTTAGTGTAGATTCTCTGTATACTACATTAACTGTATTAACTATTAAAATTAAATGCCCACAATACTGTGACAATCTTTTCTAAATGTTGTAATAGTCATAATCAATTTAATTATGTTATAATTAGTTTATATAATTCCTAGAAAAAATTCACTTATGAAATTCTTTGAATATTTTAATACCTATAATTATGCATATCACATTTCCTAATCCTATTTGAACTAGTGGCTTTCCATGAATCCCACTTCAATTGCACCTTCCAGGATTCCAAATTATGCATACATAAAAGATGGAATGGGGGAAGGAGCATATGGAAAAAGAGAGAAGAGATGGAGACACAGAGACCATTTTACAGTATTAGAAAAAGAAAGCATGCTTGTTCTTACTTCCCTAAGTTTCTGTATGTATATATCAAGAGGTTGAAGGAAAAGACAAATTAAATAGCTGTGGGTCATATAACATTTCAGAATCAAGTGCCTTTTCATAACTACAGAACAGCATTCTTCCATTGTTAAAACAGGTGAAGCTTCTGCCCTTGGGGTCCCTAGCCATGTATTTTCTCTATCCTTAGAGCTCCAGCTACTGGCAGATAAGCATAGGAATAGTTATAGTTCACTAAGTCCAACTTCACTTCAACTAGTCTAAAGAAAGGTGAGAAGGTTTGCAACCATGCCAATGCTTTGCTATAACTCTTACAATCAGATTAGATTCTTGATAGGAAAATTATTTGGAATTACATAGGAAGCAAGGACCTGTGATTCATTGGCAAGAATATCCATTTGCCTTGCAAAGATAACACAGCTGATGCAATCTATCTTGTCACAGCTGTCATGATCCATTGTGTTCTTTTTGCATTGTGTGCATCCTGGAGGTGGAGTATCCTGGAGGGGAGGAGATGGGGAAGTAAAAGGTACCTGAATATTCCACTGCACCATAAAGATGGTCCCTGCAGTCACAGAGTGTAGCACAGAGGATAAAACACATCTGATGAGTGGGAAGTAGCTTCAGTTTTTCTCAAATGAACATTGTGACTTCGCAAGTTCATTTCATAAAAATCAATTAATTTCAACTATCATGGTACATAACAGACAAGTGAAAGCTTTGTGCTTCCTGAGAATAATCCTGCTAAATAGGATTATGCTAAATTCTGTAAGTGTTGAGCTACAATTTGCAGAGAAATGAAAATTATGGTATGGTGGAGGTTTTTTCTTCTTTATTGTCAGCACTCTGAGGTGTCAAAAACTTGAGAAAGGTAAAATACATAATATGCAAATATAAAATATTTGTACATCCTAATCCTGCTAAATGTCAAATATACAGGAAAAATTTGCTTTATACTCCTATACTCCTAAAGATAACATGATTCAGCTGCTCCCAAAGTTTCCTCAGATCCAGAATGGGCCTCGGTCTCACTCTGTCAGTTCTAGAAGTGATTCACGCTAATAAACATAGTATAACAGAATGAACCCTAAACTTAAAGACCTGGGTTTGAGACCTGGATCTGCTACTTATTAGTTAAGTGGCCTTGTATAAGTCACTTTGCCCCATGTGAACCTCAGTTTATACATCTGCAAAAGGAAGGGAGAACTGCATGCTCTCTACAGTCACTTCTAGCTTTAACATTCTGTTCCACCAAAACACACATGAGCATACACTTCCAACATACCTCAGAGCCAAAATCCCCTACATCCTTCTAAAATGTTGGAGATGGGAAGGGAGAGGAAAGGAATCATGAGCAGGGGATGGATGAAAATAAATCAATCAATAATCTGTCATTGTTGTTCAGGTGTGTCCGATTCTTCATGACTCCATTTGGGATTTTCTTAACAAAGATATTGGAGTGGTTTGTTATTTCTTCTTCCAGATCATTTTACAGATAAAGAAGCTGAAGTTAGCAGGGTTAAGTAACCTGCCCAGGTCATACAGCTAGTAAATGTCTGAGGCTGGATTAGAAGACTCAGGTGAACTTCCTGACTCCAGGCCTGGTGCTCTATCCACTTCACCACCTAGCTACCCTATTGCTAATCCAGTAAACATTTAATAATTTAATAAACATTTATTAAACACCTGCTCTTTAACCAAAGTACTGCTTAACAAATGGTAGGTACTTCAGCACTAAATGGATACCGAAAGAGGCAAAAGAGAGTCCCTGCCCTCAAAGAGTTTAAAATCTAACAGGCTGGAATAAAGAGAGGTGACCAGAGACTAGTGAAGAGGAGGCTTCATCCTTAGGGTCTGTGACCAAACTGAACTAGCTCTGGAGTCTGAGGACCTGGATTCAAAACCCAACTCTGACTACCTGTGCAACCTTGAGCAAATCACAACCTCCCTGGATCTCATCTTCAACACCTATAAAATAGTGGGTTGATCTCTAGATGACCTCTGAGATTCCTTTCAACTCTAGATCCATGAAATCTAGATTTCAATTACTGTATTCTGATGAACTAACACTTTCCCCACCCCCTCCTTCCTCCTACTTTTTTGTTTGAACAATTCCTGTTTCCAAACATTGTCTTAACGTTGGCTGGTCAAACTCGAATTTCTTACTATGGTTCTCCTTCGTGTACACGTTAAAAGCAGCACTTCCCCTTCCCGATTAGATCAGATTTTCCCCTAAAACAAGTTGGACACAATCCTAAATGGGAGCCCTGCAGAGAGGGTCGAGGTGGGAAGTCATTCAGCATAACTGCAGTCACCAGGCTGCCTTGAAAGTTTTAAGGGCATCTTGAAGGCCTTCCTAGGTCAGTTCTTTAAACAGACGTAGAAGAACTGACCAGGGGGCAGCTAAGACCTGAGTTAGACTAAAGTAGCTCAGAGTCAATCTGGCCGCAGTCAGCCACGGCAGGGTTCCCTAACACTTTTTGAAAGAGGTGAGACAGTTTTCAATGAAACTCTCATACTTCGGATGAGACGAGTTTGGCGTTCTAAGTACTGACTGCTCAGAAACTAATCAGCCTCAGAAACTAACCTACTAGGCTCTGAGACAATTAATTAAACAAGGATTTGCTCTTTTTAAAAAAGCCTACTGACAGTTCACAAAGCAATTTTGTCATTTTTAAATGGGCTTCATTTTTCAATTAAAATATACAATGGATTGAGATGTGTCAGGGCAGAGATGCTGAAGCACAGATTTCAAACACGATTTTTATGAAGTGTCTTTTGGCTCATAGGGTGAGGGGGTGGGAGGAAGGAAGAGGGGGAGCACACCGATTCGTGCCCCTACATCTATCTCCTTTCTCCCTGTATCAAGAATAGCCATCGGGCTCCGCGGTCCTATACGCAGGTCCCTTTCTTTCCACTCCGGGTGGCTCCAGGCACTTCTACTGCGCCTCGCAGCGCCCACGGAAAAGGTTAGCAGCCGGAGCCACACAGTGAGAGATCTCTATCTGTTCTCCCCGCTCCCCCCACCCCGCCCCGACTCCCCCTTTACGGTTTCCAGTCCCGTTTTGGCACCACTGCGCATGAACTCGAAGGGAGCACTCACGTCAGCACTGTCCTCAGTTCAAGCCGCAGCCAAGGGTGGCGGGGACACCAGAGGCGGGAGCTGACATTTCTTTTGTTCCCCTGCCTACCCAGCAAATCCTCGCTGCCCGGGGGCGGAGTCGAAACTGGCCGCCCTCGCCTTCCCCAGCCTCTGCGTCTTATAAAGCCACGGCAGCTCCAGGAGGAGCCTGAAGAGGCGACTGCCGTCTACAATCCAGTCCGTGGATCTGTATCATGCAAAGTGCTATGTTCCTGGCTTTCCAACCCAACTTCGGCTCCATGGAGAAAAGTGCCAGCGGCTACCCAACGAGCGAAGAGAAGAGAGAAAAGATGAAGCGGACTATGTAAGCACCTCTCCCACTGACTCTCCATCCCCGTTTCTTCTCCTTCTATGGGATTTCTTGAAAGAGACACTGCTAGACGTCAGGGAGCTTTTCCTCTGTTTGGAAAAGCATAGTAAGAGATCACTTTGTAATAGGTAATTTCTTGTAAAAGTCTCATTCTCCTTGATAGGAGGCTAGAGTAAGGTTGTAGAAGTTTGCAGCTTTATTTTTGACGGTTCTAAGGGATGTCTTGTTTTATTATTTAAGCCAAGAAGAAAAAGTTGAGATGCATTTAATGCACAAACATTTCTCGATTTTTGAAAGAAGAAATCATACTCCTCCACCTCGTTTAAAGAAAAATAAAAGTAGCCTAAGAATCCTGTCTTCCCGAGTTCCAAGCCTTTTTGTCTTTATTGTATCTCCGCAAATCGGTAGCTCTGCTCGACTTCTTTTTTGTTTCTTGTATAGGGATGTCCTTAGTCATGCAATAGGTGCTGAATTTAGGCATTTACTTGCTAAATGAAGAGCAAATTAAACTCACGGAGTTAATAAGTTAGGAGACCTACTTCTTCGGTTTCTCTCTTCTTAGAAATTATTAAAACTCTTTTGTTTGCCTTTTGTTTGAAAGGAGGAATTTGGAATGCTTTTGAGAACTGTTGCACAAACTTTCCGCGTAAGGTTTTATCCAAAGCCTTCAATATTTTTAGGAGTAAGGAGGAAACTAATTAGACTGCTCTGACTCATTTCGGTGTCATTGAAGTAGATTTCACCAGATGACTGAAAATGGCCCAGAGTTGTCATAGCGTTGCAGAAACTAAAATTTCACACTGTCCGAAAGGAAAACTTGTTTCATTCACCACTTTTAGGATGACTTGAAGTTTCTCAATCATTGACAGAACCTTACCTTGGTTACTTCATGAGCCAGTAAAACTAAAAGCCATGTTCAGATCATTCAAGATAAGCTTAAACATTATTAGTACAATTGGAATAGAAAATATATGGAATATATGGAATAAAAAAGGCAGAAAGGTTCATTTCACTATGGCGCTTAGCTTTTTTGGGGGGGAGGTCTTATTCGCCTTTCTGTTGCTTAAGATTCTGCTTCTGGCATTAAAAGAACTACTTGGCAAAATGAGGGCAGCTATAAAGATTAAGCATCATCACTCACTGAATATAATTGTTTCCTTTTAGCATAAAAGACTGGAAGACACGTTTAAGCTACTTCCTGCAAAACTCATCTACACCTGGGAAACCTAAAGCCAACAAGAAAGGCAAACAGCAAGCTTTTATTAGGTAAGTTAGAGATCTCAAACTTAACCATAGAGTTTCATCTAATATACATTTTGCCTTTTCTTTGAAGCAGGAGAAATTCAATTTTTTTAAATATATGCACTAATTTTTGCAGACCTTCTCCTGAAGAAGCACTCCTGTGGTCAGAAACTTTTGATGAGCTTCTTGCCAATAAATGTAAGTGAAAATATTAAATTTAATCTGAAGTGATTTTAAAGACTAGATAGCTGAATCTATGGATTATAAACTAGATTGATTTATCTTTAGAAGCCAGACAATAGCAATTGTTTTCCAATGTCGAGTCCTATAACATAAGTAAGGTTTTGATTAGTTTTTTTTTTCTTTTTCCCTCACTTATAAGGAAGCTCTGCCCTTTGTGCATTCAAAGAAATGTCCTTATGTTCTGGTTGTTGTATTATTGGGTTTCTTTTTCTTAATAATCAATAGAATTGTGTGTATTGTTATGGCTTCAGTAAAATATTCTCAGGTGGGAAGGAAGAGAATGAGGGTGAACAAATGCATTTGTTCACAGTTAAAGCTGAGTCAACTTTTCCATTGCAAACAATGTTTTCAAAGTGCTTAGTCTGAAGAGGATTTATGATTCCCTTGACAACGTAGTTTTTATCTACTTGAATGTGCTCTGGAATGGCAATGTGCCAACCTTAAGAAATTTACCTACTGGCATTAAAACTCTGAAAACTAGAGCTTTGCAAGTTTGAATAAATGCTGGCAAGTTGCCATAACATAGAAAGTCATGTATTCAAGTCTAGATTTGTTGAAAAGATAAATACCAGGAAAGAATATAAAACATTCTTTTATTTTAATAAGCCCTGCACATATCCCTCCTCCACTCTAGATGGTCTTGCTGCATTTAGGGCTTTTTTAAAGTCCGAATTTTGCGAAGAAAACATAGAATTCTGGCTGGCCTGTGAAGACTTCAAGAAAACCAAGTCTCCCCAAAAGCTGACCTCAAAGGCCCGAAAAATTTATACTGACTTCATAGAAAAGGAGGCTCCAAAAGAGGTAATAATCCCTCATCTTGGCAAAATTTTAAATAATTCAAGTTATTAGCAGAATTCCAGTGAAAAGAAAGGCATATATATATATATAGTATACACACACACACACACACACACACACACACACATATTTTTAGGCAATTGGGGTTAAATGACTTGCTCAGGGTCACACAGCTAGTAAGTGTCAAGTGTCTGGTCAGAGGCCGGATTTGAACTCAGGTCCTTCTGACTCCAGACTGTCTGGATGTTCTATCCACTGTGCCACCTAGCTGTCCCAAATGGCAAATATTCGTTTGTTTTGACGGGACAAAGTTTTTCTTTTTATCCCACCATAACTTTCCATATTTTCCCCCAATATGGGTATTAGAGCATGGTCCTTGATATTTTTCATGACAAATATTAGCTGCAGCATCATTATAGCATTTTGAAACATACTAACTGCTTTCCATATAACAGCCTCTGTTGAACTAGTCATTCAAATTTATCCCCAGTTTTTACAAATAATGAAACTGGCTCTGAGAAGTTGTGACTGACCCACAGTCACTGAGTTAGGAAGTATCAGAGCTGAACTATTCTAGATTCATACCTAGTATTTTATGGCATCATTCTGAAATTTAGTTATTCAGTATTAATTTCATGTGTTGAAACTTAACCATTGTCTATTGTCCATTCCTATTTCAGATAAATATAGACTTTCAAACTAAAACCATGATCGCTCAGAATATTGAAGAGGCTACAACTGGTTGCTTCACTACAGCCCAGAAAAGAGTCTACAGTTTGATGGAAAACAATTCCTACCCCAGATTTTTGGAGTCTGAATTTTATCAGGACTTGTGTAAAAAGCCACAGATTACTAGAGAGCCTCAGGCTACATGAATGAGCATGGGAAATGAAGTAGGGCAACAGAAAGAACATTTGACTTTTTCTTGCTAAGGAGGAAGGCCTGTGGCCCATGAAACCTGAAAAAAAAAAACTGATGGTCTAAAAGACAAGCATCAAATTGAGCCTGGGTATTCAGGAAACATCACACAGAAATATTGACTCTGCAAGTTGAATTGCATAAAATGAATAACAGTGACAGTAATGGCATAGGAGAAGGTACGTTTCTGATTGTCTTGCAAGTGTTATATATAGAAGACAGTGAATCCATTGTCTAAGTGCTGTGTGTTTTTAATTCACACTGGAGAAGATGATATTCCAGAGCAGATGTAAGACTATTCTTCTGAAAGAGCTGGGTTTTTTTAATCAAATAGACCTGGGGGAGATTAAAAAAAGCCTTGATTAAATGGCTATACATCTCTTCCTAAACTAGTCCATGTTACCACTAAGTGTCTGATTGAATGGTTTACTATGTACAAAGAGGTATGCAAGTCCATATGACCCAGTCATTTGTGTTACTGTCCCTCATCATGGAGAGAAAGAAGTGGTCCAGGTACATGTTGTCATATGTTGCAGGTTAAGGTTGTGTAGAACACTACCACGTTTGTGAATGCCAAAAAAAGTCTTGAAAGGCAGCTAAACTTCAATGAAGTGGTCTTTGAATACTTGTTTTTAATAAATTTATTTTGATATTTATGACTGTTTTCTCTATTCCTTCCACCTATCTCCCTTTGGGGGTGTCCTTTATCTTTTTGAACCAAAGACCTAGTGTCTACTAGGACTCATAAAGATCAAAACAGTCTAGAAGACCCAAAGGAATGAATGACGTGCATGAATGTAAGCGTATGACTTCATCCTAAAACAAAAGCTCCCTCCATTAATACACGTGAACAACTTAATAGTCTTAGAAAGTTGCCTAGGACATTGGAAGGCTAAGTAATTTACCTGTGCTCCCCTGTCCATATTGAATGTACCAGCAGAAAGACTTGAACCCAGTTCTTCCTAACTCCCAAGTGACCCTCCATCCACTCTGCTATGATGCCTCCCTCTTTGCATGTATTTGTTGTGGTTGAACAGTGACCATGGACAATATTCGAAGTTTCACAGCTGTTAACTGAGAGCAGATAGTGCTGTTTGCCCACTGAGGCACTAATAAAAGTATATATGGGCAAGGAAAACATCCTATTTTTCAGCCCCACTTGAGCAGGAGATGAACTCATCACCTAAGTTAAATGTTGCAAACTGACATGCAACACAAATTTTAATAATTTAAAAGCATTAAGTTTAAGATGAAGCATAAAAAACCAAAATATTTGAAGTTTCTGAACAATCAAGCGTTTATGAAATGGCTATGTCAGGCACTGTTATATGTTGGGGATAGAAAGATAAAATGAGTCAGTTCCTGCCCTTAAGGAGTTTACATTTTATCAGGGGAAATAACATGTACACATATGAACACATAAAAACATTCACAAAATATATGTAAGGTAATTGGTGAGAAGAGCCACTAGCATGTGAAGGCATCAGGTAGAAAGAAGGCAACCTTTGGACCATCTGATGGAGGCAGGCTCCCTTTTATAACACACCAGTGATTCAATTAATGTTGTGAGCAGCAGGTGAAGAAACTCCCCTTGACTACTGGACATCAGCATCTGGTTTGCAACTTAAGGAATAGCCTGGGGCCTTAGAGAGATTCAGTGACTTGTCCAGTGTCACACAGCCTGTATATGTCAGCAGCAGGACTTGAACCCAGTGTTTTTCCTGTCCCCAAGGTCAGCTCTCTGTTATGCTTTAGATGCCTCTCCTGGCAGACTTGTTTTTAGTATTTGCAAAAGAATACTAACTTTTTTTTCCCCTCAGAAAGTCTGTGATGAATATTTGTAAAAGGCCCAGATTGCAAAAACATCATTTGGAATTATTAGGGGAGGGGAAAAGGGGGAAAAGGGAGGAAGGATATCAGACCTGTGATTGCATCATTGTGGGGAGCTCCTGGAAATTCTGTTAGTGCAGATCAGCAACTTGTCTGTAGTTTAGGGTGTTAAGGAATTGACTGGGGACACAGAGGAGTTAAGTGGCATGCTAGCAATCATCCAATATATGGGAGAAGCAGGGCTTGAAATCAGTTCTTCCTGACTTCTGGTCTGTTCTCCTAACTCACTATACCCCACTGCAAGTCAATTAGGAAAATGAATGGTTCTTAGGAGTAAGAGTTGGAAATGAACTCTGGGAGCATATAGTGTAGCTCCCTTTGTTTTACAAATAGAGAAACAAGTCCAGAAGTGACTTACCCAAGATAAGTAAGTAGCTCTCTGGCTCCATTTCCAGCTTCCAACAACAATCTCTCTTCTGCTCATAAAGCCTGCCTACTTAGGTGCACTACCCCCTTCAAACTCACAGCTGAACTCATCTCTCTACCCTAAACCTGCTTCTCATTCAGTGTTCCTCTTTCTTTTTATAGTATTACCATCTTCCCAGAGTGGAAGCCTTGGAGTAACCTTTGACTCTTCCCTCTCTCTTGATCAGCTTCCACGTCCTAATAATTATATTACCAAAATGTATCTCCCATCCTCTCCTTCACTGACACTGTCAACACCATCACTTTTAGAGGTGGAGATCCCGAGGCCTAGAAGCCATATGTGGCCCTATAGGCCCTCAAGTGTTGCCCATTGACTGATAAGGGCCACACTTGAGGACCTAGAGGGCTATATATGGCCTCGAAGCCTCAGGTTTCCCAACCCTGATTAGGCCCTCATTACTTTTTGCCCTGACTATTGTAAAAGATATTATCAAAGCTTTTCTCTCTAGTCTTTGCCTTCTCCAATTAATCCTTACCACAAATGAAAAAAAAAAACTTTCTTTCTAAAAGAACACATCTGACCGTGTCATATCCCTGTTCAAAAATCTCCTGTGACTGACAATTTTAGGGTCAAATACAAACTACTTATACAGTACTGGTATATTTAAGTCCCAACCTCCCTTTCTAGTTTTCACACATATTCATACAATGCATGCTGAAGCTAATAAATTACTGTGTCCCCACTTAAAAGAAAATTCACATCACCCTTCATAAAACCTTGTCTACTCTGTTTTTTGACCTCCTGGATCCACGATTTCGTTGATATAAAAAACTCCAGTGAGGGAATTATCTCTGTAAATGAAGATTGGCACCTACTCTTCAATTTATATTCTTAGAGCACGGGTTCTTAACGTGGGGACCTGTTAACCTTTAAATTTTTTATTAATGTATTTCAATATAATTGGTTTGCTTTGTAATCCTCTGTATTTAACTTCGTGCATTTAAAAACATTATTTGAAGATAGGATCCATGGGCTTCACCACAGTCAAAAGAGTCAAGATACAAAAAAAAGGTTAAGAACCCTGTCCTAAAGAGCTGCTGGGGCACTGAGAGGTTAACTTGCCCAGAGTCGCCCAGCTAGCAAATGCCAGAGGCAGAACTTTCACTTCCTGTTTCTAAGAACAGTTCTCAAGGCACTGTAACTTATTTGCCTGTCTTCTTGCTCATACTTGATACATAATCATTTTCTGGTGAATTAAAGGTAATTCAATAATCCCACTGCAACTTCTCTTAAAGGAATATGCACCTAGAGATTACACAGAAATATAGTATTCTTCCAGATTGTGCTGATCTGGTTAAGGAAAAGGCAGGTGAGATGTACAACTATTGAAAATGTATTAAAAAAAAAAAAAGAAGAAAATGTATAAGCTATCAAACCAATCTTGTTTGTTTTAATTGACAATATTTCAAGAAAAGAAACCTCTCCAATATCATGTTCATATCCTGATTTTGGCAGATAGATCTCTTCAAAAAAAAAAACACTCAAAGTCTGGCCTAAATCAGACATATAACTCAAGAATCATACTTGTCTATTTAATTAGAATGAATTACACTAACACCACTTTAGAATCAAACTAGTTCCAATTAACAGTGACTTTTATCCACTAGGAGACCATTCTACAAGTCTAACCTTGTACCCAGCAGGAAATGCTACTTTGAAATAGAATTATTGCTTTAAGAAATGAACACATAGGATTTACATAATCTTGCTTAATTAGGAAAAAAGTGTGGGAAATTAAAGCCGTTTCCAAAGTTAATTTTTAGCAAAATAGAAAAGCATCTACCACTGCATGTAGAAATGGAAAGGCAAAAAAAAAATCTCTACTTTAAAAATCTTTGCAGGTTCTCATTCTTTTCACAGCTGGTAAAGAAGTATTTTTTCTGCTTTCATCATGGATATGATCAGAATCAATAGCAGAGAAAATAAGCTGCTACAACAGAGAACAAATAAAAGATCCATTGCCTGTGATTTTTTTTCCAAGAACTGATAAAAGCATTACATTTTCAGATAGTATTTTCTACTGTTCTCTAGTGCCACTCACAGGACAAACTGGAATAGAGTTAAAATTAGCAACTACATGCTTCTGCAAATAAATATTCCTTAATGTGCCAGTTTCCCAGAGCATTAGGATGTAGGTTAATTACCATAACCCACTGATTTTTACTAATTTCCCCTTTCCTCCCCCAAAGTGCATTTCACTCAGTGGAACAAAAGACAAAAGTCTCTTAAGCATGTTAAGATCTTTCAAGATTACTTAATAAATGCAATCATATTGGTAATTATTCCACGACCCTCCAATTGTTAATGTCAACTAATGCACAAAACATGAAGACAATGGTCTCCAAAGATTTTCACCACCATCATAAAGAAGGTCCAAATGAAAAATGGATTCTGTATAGAAGGTGAAGTCCTCTATGTGCTCCTTGTAAGACTGATTGTATTGAGGCCCAGGACATTAAAAGTAGGTACTCCTTATTGAGATCCCTGATTATTCAAAAGGGATCAGCTTAACAATCCACCCAGGAAAAAACAAATGGATGAAAAAGGCATATCATCCAAATGTAGCAAGCAGCTGTTTGGTGATTCAATCGAGTTCATATAGCAGTAGTTATACCTAGGATAAGTACTGTAAAATATTATGAACTGGGCTAAAAACTGAACAGGAGGGGAAAATGCAAGCTGGATTGCATCTGAAAAACTGGGCCGAGTTTTTAGCCTTACCAAGCTGTCCTTTGATTCAAAAGCCCATTTTTTAACAGTAGTGTTCTCCCAGCCATACTGGTATGGTTTCAATTCTTAAAACACCGTAGACTCCAAAGGATCCAAGGTATAGGTGACTCAAAGGACAACAGAGAAACAAATGGTAGACACTCCCACACACAGCCAGACTGCATACCTCGTGAGTCAGGATTCAGCTGACTGTCTGCTCCCTCTTACTCTCTCACACCCACCATTCAGAGCTCTCGGTCATCACTCTACACCCAGCTGAAGCTCTCTGAAGATCCTATGCTGCCCTTGAAGCCTCCTGCAGTTTCTGAAGCTCAGATGGCTCACATCCTCCTTGTAAGTATGCTTGCAATCTGCTCATTCAGCCGATATGGGGCTAGGTTCCTACACAGCTCCTTGACTCAAGAAATGATCACTATCTCCTCCACATGGCTGAGCAACTATTTCCTTCTTCCCTGACCCCCAACCTTGATTATAACCCTCACATCATTAGAACAGCATCTGTCTAAGAGGATTTCTATCAACTCCGTGGCCCTGGGATATCATGATAAGTATGTTGCTCCTAATTGTTCAAGTTTGTGCTTGCTGTACAGGACAGTAGGAAGGGTAGGCTTGCCATCTCTGGTGCACTGAGCAGATAAAATCAGCCTTTGTCAGATACAAAAGCACTATGTGGTGTCTCAGGAAGGTGTCACTGTGAGGAAATTTAGATACAGAGAGATAATAGGCCCACCAAGACTCCAAGCTCCCACAAACTGGGCCTTATCCTAGAAGCTGACCAAGAGGGTAATTTTCTCTTTGGGAGAATTACTCCCCCCTAAAAAAATCTAAATGTAGTTTGAATTTGGTTTATGCTTAGATTTTCCCAAATGCAGGTAATAGCATCACAACTCCAATACAGTCACTCAAGATTGTAATACATAGGGGCATCTAGGTGGCACAGCAGATAGAGCACCAGCCCTGGAGTCAGGAGGACCTGAGTTCAAATCTGGTCTCAGGCCAGACATGTGACACTTACTAGCTATATGACCCTGGGCAAGTCACTTAACCCCAATCGCCTTGCCAAAAAAAAAAAAGATTGTAACAGATGTGATCATACCATCTTTATCTCACCCTACAAAAAGTGCAGTAGATGTAAAGGACTCACAGAAGCCTATAAACAGATGCAGGAATATAAAAAGAGTCAGAGTCAATAAACATTTATTAAGCTCCTACTATGTTCCAGGCATTATGCTAAGCACTGGAAATACAAAAAAAGGCATGACAATTCCTGCCTTTAAGAAGCTCTCAATCTAATGAGAGAAGACAACATACAAAGACAAGTTAAAAAGTGAAGGAGGGTGAGGAGGGAATTGAGAATGAAATCCTGCAGCCAGGGTGGAAAATTATCTGAGGAGTTGTGAATTTTAGGGTCAAATTCATCTTGGAGAATGATGAATTTCTGGAGATTATGAAATCTAGGAGATCCGTTGGGTAGGAAATGATGAGGTAAATTCTCTGTGTACCCTCTTTAAATAGTGGAGGATCTGGGAGGAGCTCTCCAATGACCCATATCCAATCAGAGAGAGGGAGGGCCTCCAGGGGCAGGGGGTACTAAGGAGATGTGAGTTTCAAAGTTGATGTCATCTTATAAACCTTGGCCTTTCTAAATTAATGTCTTTCCACCCTCTTTATGTCATTGGTCCTCTTTGAGAACCATCAACAACAGCATCTTATGAGTTTCTAGAGATCTGAAATACAGGAGATCAGCTGGGTGGAAATTTACCCTCAGTTTCCCTTAGAAGGGAACTGAATTTGAAGTTGCCATAAAGCCAACCCTTTGACATTCTGATGAATCCTAACCCTCCTACAGGGTCCTGCATAATCTCTTCCAGATTCATAGTGTCAGTATGTGATTTGGATTCCCCTAGGAAGTAAAACTTTCTTTAGGACTGCTGGATAAGCAATCCTTCTCCAAATGAACTTACACTGTCCAAATACTATAGGACAGTGGTGTCAAACTCAAATAGAAGTGGAGGCCACTAAACTGTACACAAGGATCCATGTGGGCTGCATATTGACTTCAAAAATCATACATTTACATATTTCTTATTATTAATATATCATCACATTAAAATCATATGTGAACTACTTTTAAATCTGAGTCATCCTCACTAAGGAGAGTTGTGGGCCACATAAGGTCTCCCCACTGTATATTTGACACCTCTGCTATAGTACATTGCTCAAGAAATATGTGGGCAATCCAAATCATTCTTCAAAAAGCATGCTATAGGAGGAAATTGCCTTCTCTATCTGGAAGGTCTAATCCCTGGACTCTCAAATCTAGAATTTAGGGTTACCTATGAGGTAATCCTGAAATTATGTGCTGCCAAGGAAATCTTCCTTTTCTGACTAGAAGGCTGGTTTCCAAGAGGCTAGTGAATTTAAAATCTCCCTTCTTCCACAAAGAAATTGAAGTTCATGAATATTATATATGAACTACTTTCTTGGACCAAATGGGCATGTCTATATCTACCTCTGCCTCATCTTCTACCAGAAATCTATCAGTGTCTCAGCTGCTGCAATTTCTTGGGTTAGGGAAGTCAACTTCCAGTATCTCTCCTCTCTGACAGCACATACAATCTCCAAATTCCTCTGCCCCATGGCAGCCATTTTCAGTTCTAAGGGGAAGTAATTATGGAAATGCACTAGTCTGTCTCCTCAATAGGGAAAAGGTAAAAAGTGGAAGTCCAAAAAGAAAGTGAGCTTGGCTGTAAGATTCCTTGGAGACAAACAAGAAAGCTTCTCAAACAAGGTCTGTCCTCTCGAGACCCAGCTGACCAATCATCTTAGAGGCAACCATAGTCTCTAGGAACCAATGGAAGTTCTTTGTCCTCTCAGCAAAGTGTCCGTGGATGTATGCACACTCTTCATGGGTAGGTTTACTTCACATACCACCAAACAAAAGTTTATACCCCGTAATCTCATGACATTGATTAGGAAACTCATCAGATTGATCAGTAACTCCCCTGATCAATACCTCCTACATGTATAGTACTTTGTTAACATCATCTCATTTGAGTCTTCACTTCGATAGCAACCCTGTGAGGTAAGTACAACAGGTACAAGCATGCATAGAATATGGATCTGGCTTGCCCAGACACCCTCAGAGAGCAGTGGGAATGCTCCCCCAGGCCTACACTGCCTATGACTTCAGGTATTATCCTCATTATTCTAAGATAAACTTAGACAACTTAAATGAGGACATCACTAGTAAATGTCAGCATTGGGATTTAAACCCAGGTCTCCCTTGACCACAAGTCCAGCATTCTTTCTATGGCACTGTACTTCCTCTCAAATAGAGAAAAATAAAAGAGTGATGGAGTGAGGGCAAGGCAACCAGATCTCATATCTCAATCTGGGGTTTTTGTTCCTGAGAAACACAAACTAAGTGACATCATGATACTGTTTGCCATGCTTGTCATTCAATAAGTAAGACTGTCCTTGCCTTTTAGGAATTTCCAATCTAGCAGAAGTCACCTATAGACAAATTGATATCAAACAACTAATAAAATCAGTTGTAAAAGAAAGCATTAAAAAAGCAAAAGATGCAAATAAAGACTGAGATAATGCCTTTAAATAGATGACATTTATATAGCATTTTATAGTTTACAAAGAGTACTTTGAGAGGTAGGTAATTCAAGCATCATTATACCCATTTTATAGGTGAGTAAATACAGTTGTCATGTAGGATTTTGAAAAGCAGAAATGGTCCAGGTATAGGAAAGATTTCTCAGCAGGATGAATAGTGCAAGCAACAACAGGGACGCAGTGAAACATATGATATATTTAGGAATAGGGAGCAGTCCAGCTTGGTTTTAGATTAAGGTATGTGAAAAAGAGTAATAGGAGATAAACTTTCAGAGGTATGTTGGGGTCAGATCATAAAGTCCAGATTTCCTTTCCTTAGCTGTAAAATGAGGAAGTTGGACTAAATCAGGCATTTTTAATATGAGGTCCATTAACTTGTTTTCTAATATTCTGATAACTGTACTTCAGTAGAAGTGGTTTCCTTTGCAATTCCATGTATTTTAATTTATGTATTTAAAAACATTTTTCTGATATAGGTCCAAAGGCTTCACTAGACTGCCAAACAGGCCCATGACACAAAATAAGAGCCTAAAGACTCTCTCCAGTCTCTTCTAGCTCTAGAATGCTATGCTATGCTAAGATACTATTTGATAGAAATGAAATATATTATGTTGAGCTGTGTACATCTTACTTCTACAAGATTGCAGCCTCCTTAAAGGCAAAGAAACTTCCTCTACTTTGTATCCTTTTGTACATAGAAGGCATTCAGTATTTGTTGAGTTGAGGAGTACTACTTCATGTCTTTTGTTTGTTGCTAATGAGGAACCTTTAGGAAAATTTCTGGGAAAGAAGCTGGAGACAAGAAGACTGATTAGGGAGTGGTTGAAATAGTCTAGGAAAAAAGTGAAGAAGGATTGAATAAAACTAGTTGCAATGGGGGCATAAAGGAGAGGATGGATAAGAATCACTGGAGAAAAAAGTTCACTGATTAGATCAAGAAAAAAGGAATCAAAGATGACAGAAGATTTGTAGCATGGGTCACTGGAACAATGGTGAAGACATTTGCTAAAACAGGGAAATTAGGAAGTTTGGAGAAAAATGATGAGTTAATTTTAGACAAAGTTGAGTTTAAAATGCTGTCATGACATCTTGGTGGAATTATCCAGCAGATGGCTGGAAGAGCAAGTTCAGAAGAAGATAATTCAGGTCTGAAGACTTGGCTTTCATAATAACTAACTTTAGCTAACATTAACATTAATTAACTAACATTAACCTTGCATTTTAAAGTTGAAAAATCATCTTACATAATCTCATTAAACCCTAACAATCTTGCAAGGTTATCACTTGAATACTAAAATTGATTTGTACATTCATCCATGTAGATATTCCCTCCAATGGTACAGATCACAACTTATCCATATCTGACTATCCTGCAGGACTCTTATCCATTTCTTCACATAGTTCTCCACAAGGAGTCTATTCAATGTGCTGGGAGCCTTCCTTAATTCCTCCCTATACCACCAAGATATCAGAAAAGTACTTAAGTTACTCATCTGTTAGGTCTCCCATTTTCATTCTGTTCATACATTTTTTTACTATAAATGTGATTATCCTCATTCTATAGCTAAGGGAATTGAGCCTCAGAGAGGTCATGCAAGTTGTCCATTATCACTGAGCAAGTAAACATTAGGAATACATTCTAAGCCCAGGTTTTCCTCACTCAAAGTCCAGCACTCTACCCACTATATAATTAAAGGTCAGAGTGA